CATAACTCTAGTATCTCTCTCTTTCTCACTAGTTTTCCATCTTGATTCCTTTCTCCTTGCTCACATTATTTAATTAGTAGTCCTCACTCCCTTCTTCTTTAATATGACCTCTCTTTATTTTTTGCTTTTATTTTTTGTTTGCTCATTTTGTGTCTCTCCTTGACACAACATTTCTGTTGAGAGATTCGACTTTTTCCCTTCATCCTTAATTTCTCTCAAGGCTGTCGATGCTATTTCCTCAAGGAACTTGAATATAAATCCTTCCTCACATTCTTTGTTTTTCCTTTCTCCTCTTCTTTGTTTAACAAATTACCTTTATATTCTTTGAACTTTCTCTTCTATTCCAACCTAGCCATGACACTTTAATTCATGTTTTATTTTGCACTCCAACCAACCTGCCCCTCCAATTGTTTTCTATCTGTTGGAGAATTTTTGTATCCTCAAACGGATTGCATATTTTATAATCGAGTACGGCATAAGAATGATGATATATTACCCCGAAGGATAAAAATATCATTTCCTTATGGGCTCAATAATAAAATTCATCTTATCTGCTGTATCTTTTATTATAATACAGGTGTAAGAGGTCATGTGGAAACACGCTATTATATTGAATGAAATGATGTTTAACATTCTTCTTCTTCCCTCATAGAGTGTGTGCCTGATTCTTTCTTCTTTTATTTTTTCCTTTTTTCTTTTCCTTTCGTCTTCAATTATTTCAACTTTTTCATGACTCTTCCACTCTCACCTACATAAATTGGTTTTAGAGATGGATGCTCTTTCAGCAGAGTTATTCTACGTTCCTGATTCAGATCTCTCTTAGAATGCAAAACATCATTGGCTTGAGTGAGAAACAGCCAATCATTGTAAAATAACAAAAAGGGCCTCCTATCTTGCCATCATTTTCAATATCCTAGCCTCATTTTTTAGCTAATTAAAAGAAAACTTCCGAATCATTGTAGTGGATTTTGATCTGCAAATAATAATTCAATTATGAAAGCGAGTTATTATCTTGGCATACTATCGTTGATCAGATCGTTGAATAGATTTCTTTATTGAGAAATTACCAAGGCACGTTTTTTTCGCCTCATTGGTTAGAAGGGGAAAGTTGGTGCAATCAAAAATTTGGGAGAGGGCCCCAAATTTTTGATCACAAAAGAAAAGACTTCCTATATAAAATAAATACACAAAAATACCCAAAAAAGACTTTTTAATATTAAAAGATGAATTACAAACTTTGACAAACTTATATAATATAAAAGACACTTACAAACTTGACTCTTACAAACGACACAAACAAAAACACTTAAACTTGCTTTCCAAGAGAAAAAGGATACAACGGGGTGGATACTTGCGGAGAGACGAAAGAGATTAGAAGCCGAGAAGAAGGGTGGAAAGAACTCGCAAGTCTCCCCAAGAGATAGAAGAAGAAGAAGTGGACAAAGCTCGCAAGGTTTTCCAAAAACCCTCAGGTTTCTTTTCAAAAATCACATCATAAACTGACTTAAAACAACCAGAAACAACTTATATTTATAGACAAGAGAGGGGAATCCAAACAGCCCTAAAACATTAATTAAGAGCTAATAAAATTAGGGAATATGAAAAGCCAACAACCCACTCAAATTCGTGTACAATTTTTTCTCTTTTTCTCTTTTTCTCTCATTGGTTCTCTCTCCTAGTTCTTTTACCTCAAATAATCTTCCTTTATTTGGTCGATCGACATCACTCCCTACTTGTATCATTCATATGATCTCCATCTTTTATTTGCATCTTCTGCTTGCTCGGTTTTTTTCCTCTCATTGACAAAACTTTTCCCTAAAGAGAGTCTAATGTTGCACTGCATCTTGATGTCTTGCAAGATCGTTGATGCTATCTCATCCATTCGCACCCCTCCTCGCTTGATTCTTATTACCACTATCTATGGCCATGCATCCTTTTATTTGTTCTGTCTTTACCCATTTATATGTTTAACACATTAACACTGTTTTCATTTGAGTTTCTACTTCAATCTTCTCATCCTAGCTATGACACCTTCATTCATATCATATTTCTTACATCAATCTTCTACTTAAATCTAACATCAACCTTAAATTTGAAATACAATCCATTCAATCAAAACCTTACCCCTATATCTAATTGAGCTATAAGGATGAAAAAAGGGGTATGAAAATAGCTTGAATTTCTTGCACGTCGATTCATTATGTAGAATAAAGTGATCACTTTTTCAAAAATGTTTCAATTGTTATAAGAGAATATACAATTAGACACCTGGATGGATGTGTCGTATGTAACCCCTTCATCTGTCTTCATAGGAAAGTTGCTCCTTCATCTCATCTTCTTTAGGAAGCATTCTCTACAGCATGGATCTCATTTCTTGGCATTGAGGCAGAAGTCCTTATGCTTTTCTTACCAAAAATGTTTCAAAATCTCTAGGGTAATGTTCTATGAATCTTAGGACATTAGTATTTTATTGAATTATCATTGTAGTTTGATTAGTTTTTGTATTAATTTAAATTGTCAAGTGAAACATATGGTCATTTGTTAAGTTTTTAGGATTCCTTTGGTTATTGTTTTTCCTCCTTCATTTCTTCTATTATGAAGTCCAAAGGCCATTTTAAAATATGTGATATTGTTTGAAATGATGCTTGGTATGCTGCTTCATCCCTTTTAGGACCTGTGCCTAATTCTTTCTTCTTGTTTTTTTTTAAGGTATAATATTGGTTCAATTCTACATTGGCTATTGATTATTTTTGTTAAAAATGAAATCAAATTTTGAGTGTTTTGTCGTGATATTCAAAGGAGTGCAGTTTCACTTCTTATTATAGATTATTTACTTGTTTTTAAGGCATTAATAAAGGTTGCCTTATCTTATGGAATAATTACTATTGCCTTGTATGCTTTTTTTTAGTTAGTTATGCTTAGATTTAATTGCCTTGTCATTTCACCCCCAGCCCATGCAATTTTATCACTTGTTATTTCAGCTTGCTGCCATTTTATGTGAATTTTATGCCAGTCTTTCAATGACATTTTCAAGAGAGTTATTAACTAGTGATTTTACTTCTATAGCCATTTCACAACAAATTGATTTATTAGGTATGCCCTTGATGTGAAACAACCAATGGAATTGCAAGATTTTAATAAGAAACTTGTTTAGTAATGAAATTATGGGATTAATGTTTCACTAAGTTAAGACTTTCAGTTTTCATGGTTATCACTTACCAAGAAAAATAGAAAAACAAATATGCGATTAACGATAATCCGTCACTTACCAAAGAGAGCTTTCACCTTAGAGTTTCCCTCTCAATTGCTCATTGGAAGTAGGGTTAGCGGAGTAGGACTGTCAGCAATCCGAGTGACGCCACTGAAAGACGGTGGATACCGGCAGATTTGACCCAAGGGAAGTTGGCAGGAGTAGGAGAGACGAGTGGTCATCCGGTAATCTTCCACTGTACTATACGTCATTGTTCATCGATGACATCTGCCAAATGGAAGAGAATAAGCTCAACGTATTCCTCGATGCTGGTTTCGGATTGAATCCGGGGTTGAAGAGGGTCATTGAATAAAGTCAAATTTCCCTTGAGAATTGTAGGCAAATCCGTGATCAACTTTCGGATATGCCATCCATGAGCTTGAGATTATTTTGGGTGGTGTTCTTTGGTGGAGCCGCCGGTTGGGAGGAGTAAAGCGGGGCGATGTAGAGGGGGGGGGGGTCGGCTGGTGAGGAGGAGAGGAGAGGAGCAGGTAGAGCTATGGCTTGAGTGTGGACAAGGGGTTATTAGAAAATCTGAAATTAATTCAGATTTTTCTAAGAGGGAAGGGAGGGAATAATTTGAATTTCAAATTATTCCTGAAAGGGGAAGGGGCGGCGGTTAGAGGAGGAAATTAGGGAGGCTTTAATGGGGATTAGGAGTTAAATAGAAGAGAGAAGGGCATGATTAGGGGGCCTGCCATGGGGAAATTAGAGAGGTGTTTTGTTTTAAGTAGGTGGGCCCACAAGGAATAAATAGAGTTTTAAAACAAATCTGAATTTCATTTCAGATTTGTTTAAATTAGAAAGGTTTCCTAATTTAAATTCTAGCCTTAGGAAAGAATTTGAATTCAATTGTTTAATTGAATTCCAATTAGAAGCTTTCCTAATTAGCTAAAACCTATTTTAGGAAAGTGCTTAATGGGTATTTGAAATTTGAATTTCAAATTTGGGGAGCCATGGGAGGGCCGGCAGTTTGGATTTGTAAAGAGGGGCGGATGAGGCTTTGGAGGCCAACAGCTGGCAGGGTGGTGGCGGGTGGGTGGGGTGGCCAAGTGAGGCCGGCGGCGTTGGAAAGGGGATCTTGGTTTAGGGATGAGATGGGGCAACGAGAAGGGGAGGTCGGTGGGTGGTTGAGTGGGATTGGTGTGAAAGTATAAGAGAGAGAATAAATCGAAGAACCGCAAACCTTGGAATACACCAAGGTTGACGGGTATTGCTCTCACCCTCGCTTAGGTTTTCTCCTCTCAAGAACTCACAAAGAGATCAAGCAAGAAAGTGGAATTATCATTCATAATCATCATTAGAAAATAATACAATGACTAGGCCTTAATATATATAGGCTTCTAAAGCACTAAAATGTAAAAGACACAAATGACCTCAGGCTACAACATGACACAAATCCCTCATAGGGGTATAAGTAAAAAACTGAAAAATAAATAAAAGAAATGCACTAAAACAATATAAATAGAGACTATGAATTGTAGCCGTCGATCTACAATTCCGCCGATGGTAAGTACGTCGAAATCTCCAGTGGATGTCCTCATCAGCCCTTTGTAGCTTTCATTATTGATTTCGTGCTATTTTGAGGTTGCCTTTTTTCCTTTAGGCAGTTAGTTGTAGCTTCCCGCATTTTTTTAAAATTTACTCCTACTTTGTTACGAATATTCCAATTACCTATGCTTATATTTTTTTTTCTATCTTGGTTTTGATCCGAAAAAGCAGATAAATGATGTATTGTATAATTCTACAGGCTGACCCTAATATGGATGTCCGTGGGAGAATGATAAATGCTGGCATCATGGTTATTAACAAGCATGGAAAAGAAAATGTTCCTTTACTGTTCCCCATTTTTGATAGTTACTTAAATAAAAAGGTCTCCTTGTGCTGAATAGTTGATTTTTTTATTTAATTTGTGTAATTTTTTTTGTTTGAATTATAATGTAATATGACGTTCACTTGATCATTTCAATATGAAGACGTCTGATGAGGAGAAGTATGATCTTGTTCGAGAGGGCGTTGTGATCTTTACAGGAGCATTAGCAAAACATTTAGCAAAGGTGAACATGTTAGGTACTTTGCTTTAAGGTTTTAGGTGCTGATGATTTTCTTCTTTACTTGGATATTTATATCTCAAACAGGATGATCCTAAAGTTCATGCTGTGCTTGAGAAACTCTTGGATGTTTTAAACACTCCCTCGGAAGCCGTTCAGCGTGCTGTTTCAGATTGTTTATCTCCTTTAATGGCATCAAAGCATGTAAGTTTTAGAGTGCAAACATTCTTATAAAATTTCCGTGAGAGCTGCACTGCACTGTTGTGCTGTATTGAGATACAATGGGTTCCTCATTGTCTACTATTTTTATCTGATGGCATCCTAATTTTCTTCTGCAGATCACGGAGTTAATTCTTTTGTAGCAGAATGAACTTTTAGGATGCATCTTATTTTTCTTTTCATTATAAAAATTTTACAGTTAGGATAAAGCTTGTTAACCTCTACACATGTTTGTTGGATCAGGATGATGGTCAGACACTGGTTTCCCGACTTTTGGATCGTATGATGAAAGGTGACAAGTATGGTGAACGACGTGGTGCAGCTTTTGGGCTTGCTGGGGTTGTGAAGGGGTTTGGAATTTCCTGCTTGAAGAAGTATGGGATAATAGTCATGTTACAGCAAGGATTGGAAGACAGGTTTTCTCCCCAACTTGACATCTTATAGTATGTTTGCTGAATTTTATAGGCTGCTGCTAATGGTTTAACTGCTTATGATCATTTGTATTCATGTAGTCTGTTGTTTTAGCCGGTTGTTTTGCAGTTTCTTCTGTTTACTGGTTTATAGCTAAATACATGAAGAAATTCCTAAATGCATGTTTTAGGACATGTTTATTAGCATTTGCATCATTCCATGTTTTTCTACTATTATGAATCTCAGTGCTTGTATTTCAGGAATTCTGCAAAGGCTCGTGAAGGAGCTTTACTTGGATTTGAATGTCTTTGTGAGAAGCTTGGCCGATTGTATGAGCCGTATGTACTAAACCGAGCTACTTTGATTATATCTCCATTAGTTTTATTGAAGCAACTAATAGTCATTATGTAATTTGAGTTTTTTTTTTTTTTTTTTTTTTTTCAGGTATGTCATTTTGCTGTTACCCTTGCTTTTGGTTGCTTTCTCGGATCCAGTTAGTGCTGTCCGTGAAGCTGCTGAGTGTGCTGCTCGTGCAATGATGGCACAACTTACTGGTCATGGAGTGAAGCTTATCCTTCCTTCACTTCTGAAGGTACTTTATCTACATATGACTTTATTCATTTGTGCTAGTATTTTTTATCGGTATTCTTTGCATTCATTGAACTTTTCCTTTTGTGTACGTTCTAGTTATTGATTTTGAATCGATTGAATGAGTGTCTTAATGCTCTTTAAAACTACAAAACATTAAAGGGGAGGAAAAGGGCCTTTAGAATGAAGGAGAAAGATGTCCTCTTAGGGGACTTAAACTGAGGCCACAAGAGTGAAGAGGGGATAGAAAGAAATTCAGTCAACTGCACAGGAAGGGATAGCCACAAGTGTGATGAACCATTACAATTGTTTAATAAGTTGAAAACCCACATCTCATGAAACGAGAATTTATGCATTTTTAATTATAGGCAAGTCAACGGCATGCTTATTAAATTACAAATTTGTCATATATGATTGATATGAACAAAGTATTAAATAAACAAATAAATAAATTTAAACATGAATACTTTAGTAATGTTACATTCTCGTCATCTTCTTGTGGGACAACTTTTGCAATACAATTGACGGACTAAACATGATGGGTTCCATAACACCTACTCCTACAAAGAAGGTCAATTAGTGGTACTGCTACCTTCAGAAGAATAAATTGAACGAACAAAACCCAGTCCTGAAATGATGCCGAAGTCCCTTCATACAAACTTGTAAGGAAACTGATCACAGGTTGAATTTGGTTGTTGATTCGGAGCAGCACATACCACCAGCAAATGTCCAAGGTTTAATCTAACAGTTGCGACTTTAGATTTTCTTGAAGCCTCTCATGGTAAGGGAGAATGGCGTCGGTACTAGTAAGACCGGTTGGTTCAGTCAACCAGTTCAACAATCAACCCAATTTGGATTTTTTTTAATATTTTACTCTATTGTGTTGGGGAGATTTGGAGTAAAAATCACAATGACTAAACAAGCAGTAAAAGCATCAGAAAAGTAAAGGACATCAGGATTTAACGTGGAAAAATTCAAAATAGGGAAAAAATCATGGAGCCACACCACACCAAGAAATCACTATGAAAAAATGGAGAAATAATAACAAATCTCTTTTCTCTCTCACACTCTCCTTGTTTCTCTTCTCACATGCATAGTTTTTGATGTTTATATCCTCCAAATACATGAGAAAGCCAAGTAAAATAACCCCAAGAGACAATCCTTTAGAAAAATGAGAAAGAAAAATGTCTAGTCCTTGCGGTGCTGTGGCACAAGTTTGGGGCGCTGTGGTTCTCAAGCATTTGTCTTGCACTGCTGCAACGCCTTATCTATAACACTGCGGCTCTCTGCTCTCTGTCATTCAATGCTGGGATGCTCGATAACAAAACACCAGGGCGCTCGAAATCCACTATGAAAATATGGAGAAATAAGTACAAATATCTTTTCTCTGTCACTCTCCTTGATTCTCTTTTCAGATGCACAGTTTTTGAAGTTTACATCCTCAAAATACAAGAGAATGCCAAATAAAATAACCCCAAGAGATTCAACCCTTCAGAAAAATGAGAAAGAAAATCGTCCAGCCCGTCTCGCAGCGCTGCGGCACCAGTTTGGGGTGCTGCGGAGCTCAAGCCTCTGTCTTGCACCGCTGCAGCGTCGTATCTATACCGCTGCGGCACTCTGGTCTCTGTCGTTCAATACTGGGGCGCTCGATAACATAGAACCGGGGCGCTCGAGTACACAACACCTGAACCCAAGTAGGGGTAAACCTACACACTCCCCCAACGAACAAGACAAGCTTTGAGGTCTGAGACAACTGAACAACCAGATTGATCAACGCAATCAGATTCTACACATAACATATTGGTAATTTTGTTAGTCATCAATAGGATGGACTCTTATCTTATCCTAGTCATAAGGTGATGTAACCAAAATTTACAAAAATAAAGAGATGCTAAGGTTGTAAATTCAAGACACTAAAAGATTGCCAAAAAGAAAAAAAAAACTCCTTACAATATAGCTTAAAGAAAACCTTGAAGTTTAACCGCTTCATACTTACATTAAATGGAACACTAGAATAAAACAAAACACAACAACGCTTACAACTTCTAATAGAAAGAACACAATGACACTTAAACTTTCAATAAAACATGATACGACAAAACTTAAAACTTACAATAGTTTTAGAGAAGAAAGATACAATTGGAAGGGATACTATGGAGAGAAGAAAGTGATTAGAAACCGAGACGAATTATAAGAGAGAGGGAGGTAGAAGACAATTGCTCGCAAGCTATTCCAAACCCGCATGTTCATGCTCCAAAAGTTATCACATAACTCCTCTTTTTTTCCTCATAAAACAGCCCCTATAAATAGGGAAAAAGAATACAAACAGTCCCCAAAAAGGCGCCGCCCTAAGCCTCCAATGGGAGCAGCCAAAGCATGGGAAATACCCAAGAGAGAGGCATGACCAGCCCAGGAACCAAACAGCCAGCTCAGGATCCAAACGGCCCAAATAACCAACAGCCGGTCCCCGAAAAGGTGCCGCCGTAATTTATGAGAAATCACCAAGAAAGAGGCACGACTAATCCAGCAACCAAACAGCCAAAATTTATAGGATAACACCAAGAAAGAGGCACAATCAGCCCAGGAACCAAGCTGCCAAAACACCAACAGCCAGCCCCCAAATAGGAAACCGAAGCAACCCCACTTCAGCTGAGATAATCAAGACACCAAGCAGCCAAAGAAAGGGAAAAATGGGCCAAACCCTTTAAGAGAAATTCAGCCCACTATTAAATGCCCAATAAAAAAAAAAACTGAAACTTTTTCCTACTTCATAAGGGGTTAAATTCTTATAAATAGATCTTCCTCCAATTGTATCTTAGTTTTTTTATAAGAAATAAATTTCCAGAGATTTGTTTTCTCTGTTCTTGCATTTTGTATCGTGGAATTCTAGATGGTGGCTGCCTTCCCCCTCCATTCCATATCAGCCAGAGAGCCTTATTCCCTACCGTCCTGCCCTTTGCCGCAATAGAAGCTGTCCGCCTTGTCTTCCTGCAGATGAGCTGCTGCAACCTTCATCAAGAATGCAAGGTGCTGCTATGCCCATTCCAGACCCAAAAAGAACTGGTCGTTCCGTCCAGGCTGCAGAATTGTTGTTCTTGTTTGTTTTTCCAGATGCAAGAAGTGTTACGCCCATTTAGCTGCCAAACGTGGCTGTCCAGCTGCTGTCAACCACCTTCACAACTCTTAGGAACTAATTGGGGTTGTCCAGCTGTCATCTATCTTCTTCCAGATCATAAGAGCATAGACAGTTTTTTTTTTATTATTATTATTTTTTATAAGAGCGTAGACAGTTGCTTGTGCTATTTGGTTTGTTTTGGGTTTACCAGCAGTGCCTTACCGGAGTTAATTTTAGCCTCGAAAGTTGTCTGGTAAGAATAAGGAATAATCAAGGTGGAGAGATGGACTGCAACATAGACACTATTAGTTCTTGTTTTCTCTTAGCCAAATTCCTCATAGAAGCCAGCTCCTCCACTTCGCCCGGTGCTCTCTGAAACACTAAATGCATAAGAACAAGCCATAGAAAGCCTCTCTATGAGCCCTTGATGTAGGCGAGGGGGGGGGGGGGGGGGGAAAAACCTAACCCAATGGGGGGGGTCAAAACAAGATAAAAATTGTGAGTTTTGACTTCCCTTGAGCTTGCTTGCTCATTAATTTTTGAGCTGAAATTTAGCTCATTATGAGCTGGTTTTTTATTTCATTTATTGAACTAAAAGTTAGCTCATTATGAGTTATGTTTTTAGTTCATATATTAGTTTATTAGTAGCTCATTAATCTTGTCTCTTCTCCTCCCCTTTTCTTCTTAAAATTCTGAGCTTGTCCCTTTGGTTCCTATGCTGGCTGGCTGTTTCCGTGCCTTTGTCCCGTGGGTTTCCGTGGTTGACTATTAGTTTTTTGTGCTGGGTGGTTTTCCCGTGCCTTGGTTCCTCGGTTCCGTGCGGGCCTCTTTTGTTCCTGCGGCTGCCTCTTTGGGTCCTAGGCTGGGCTGTTTTCCCGTGGTTGCTGGGGGCATTTCCATGGTTTTGGTGCTTTGTTTCCTGTGAAGAATTGGGTATATTATGAAGTGGCTGTTGGCTTTTCATTTCCCTCATTTAATTAAGGTATTTGAAGAGATTTTGAGGCTGTTTGGTTTCCCTTCTCATGCCTATATATAGAAGATGTTTTATGATGTTTTAAGGAAGTTTATAAGAGCTTATGTGAGTGATTTTTGGAAGCCATAACCTGCGGGTTTGCTTGGAAAAGCTTGCGAGCTTTGTCCACTTCTTCTTCTTTGGAAGGCTTTCGAGCTTCTCCACCCTTCTTCTTGGCTTCTAACCTTTTTCTTCTCGCCGCAAATGCCACCTCACCTGTATCCTTGTTCTAATGGAATGAAGCTCCTTTAGGTTTGTTTGTGTCCAAGTTAGTAAAGTATTTGTAAGGTGTTTGTGTTCAAGAGTTGTAAGAGTCCTTTTCTAATATTATAAAAATGTCTTTGTTTCTTATTTTGTATCTTTTGAGAATTTGGTGTATTTCTTTAGTATTTTCTATATCTCTTTTATATAGGAAGTTTTTGTTTTTTTGTGACTACCCAAATTTTTGCTTACATCAAATTTGGTATCAGAACTTTGTCCAACTCCTCCTTCCTTCCCTCTTTGGAAAAGCTTGCAAGCTTTGTCCAATCTCTCTTCCTTCTCCTCTAGGAAAGCTTGCGAGCTTCTCTTCTTTCTTCTCGAGCTTCTAATCTCTTTTGTCTCTCCGCAAGTTTCATTCCACATGTATCATTCTTCTCAAGGCAAAGCAAGTTTAGGTTTTTATTATATAAGTTTAGTCTTGAAGATTGTAAGTGTTGTTTGTAAGGTGTCTTGTTTGAGTCATTTGTAAGTGTCCAAGTTGTAATAGTTTTTTATCTTATAAAAAGTTTGTTTTGTCTATTTGTCTAATTTTTGTGAGTTCATGTAAGTTTTTATTATCTAGAAAGTGTTTTTATTTTGTGATAAAAATTGGGGCCCCTTCCCAAATTTTTGCTTACATCAAATTTGGTATCAGAGCAAGTTAGGTAGTCCTAGGTTTATGAGTTGGTTTGTCAAGTAAGTCTGGATGAGTCATAGCAAGTTTTATGTGTCTTGATGTCATAAGTTGTTTTGTTTGTGAGTTTTAGTGAGTCTTGGTAGGTCATAGTAGTTATTGTGTGAGTCTTGTGAGTCTTGTTTTGTTGAGTCTTTTAAAAAAAATGGAAAAAGACAAAAAAGATTGATTCAGTCAAAGGAGAAAGCAAACTGGAAGATTCTGAAGTTCAAAGTCCAATGAATAGATAGATTCCGTCTGATTCAATAAATCCCCTGCAATATGAGCTATACAAACTTCATTCATGGATGCATTTGTGTACAGAGAGATACATGGAGAAGAAACAACGTTTACAAGATCAGTTTTTGCAAGTACGAGAAGAAATTCTGAAAAAATATGAAGAAAAGATTCAGGAGCTGGATGCACCATCTTCACCTCCTCAGAAGAAAACTAAAAGCGGCTCATCGGGAGATGAGTTTTTCAAGTAGGGGAGTCTGATGTAGGCAGGAGGGGTCAAAACTAATCAAAAAATTTGTGTTTTGACTTCCCTTGAGCTTGCTAATTCATTAATTTTTGAGCTGAAATTTAGCTCATTATGAGCTGATTTTTAGTTCATTTATTGAACTAAGAGTTAGCTCATTATGAGCTATGTTTTTAGTTCATAAATTAATTTATTGGTAGCTCATTAATCTTGTCTCTTCTCCTCCCCTTTACCTCTTAAAATTCTGAGTTGTCCCATGGGTTCCCGTGCCTTGGCTCCTTGGTTCCCACGGTTGGCTGTGCTGGGTGATTTCCCTGTGCCTTGGTGCCTCGGTTCCGTGCGGACATCCTTGGTTTTTGCGGCTGCCTCTTCGGGTTCCCCCTGGGCTGTTTTCTCGTGGCTGTTGGGGGCTTTTTCGTGGCTTTGGTGCTTTGTTTCCTATGAAGAATTGGGAATATTATGAAGTGGCTGTTGGCTTATCATTTCCCTCATTTAATTTAGTATTTGAAGAATTTTAGTGGTTGTTTGTATTCCCTCTTTTTGTCTATAAATAGGAGATGTTTTTGGATGATTAGTGATTAATATGTGAGTTATTTTTGGAAGCCATAACCTGCGGGTTTGCTTGGAAAATCTTGCGAGCTTTGTCCAACCTCTCTTCCTTCTCCTCTAGGAAAACTTGCGAGCTTCTCCTCTTTCTTCTTGGGCTTCTAACCTCTTTCGTCTCTCCATAAGTTTCATTCCACCTGTATCCTTCTTCTCAAAGCAACGGATGGAAAGCTTCTTTAGGTGTCATTTTCATGTCATAAATTTGTAATGTCATGTTATGTTGAAAGTCAAAGTTTGTAAGAGTCTTTGTTTGTAAGTCTTTTTATTTTATAAAGTGAAGTTTGTGTTTTGTTTTGAAAATCAGAAATTGTCTAGTTTCTGTGAGTTTATGTAAGTTTTTATTATCTAGAAAGAGTTGTTTTTTGTGATAAAAAATTTGGCGCTCTCTCCCAAATTTTTGATTGCATTAGCCCTTGCTGTAAAACCCGAAATTCGTCATTTGAGTGCGTCGCACGCATATCAATGCGCCGCGATGAATTTAAGTGAAATTTCGATATCGTTGAAAATTGACGAATTAAATTTCATTAGATTCGTCTCGAAATTTCGAGTGAAACGGTATAAAGAACTTATACCAAATTTCGCTCAGTTTTGAAGATAAAAATTGCCGAAGATAGTTTAAGTAAATTTTGGCAAAACTTCCTATATTACCCCTAAGAACCTTAAAGAGAATTAAATAAGTTAAGGGCACATGTGTAAAAAGCCTTTATATCAAAGCCACGAAATAATTATGTTTCTTATGTCAAAGCATGAAAGGGTTATTTAGTATATTATGGAAGTATTTTATCATGGTTGAAATCATCTTATTATAGTCATGCAATGGTTATAGATTGTCACATGAAAGCTTCCTATCATATTCATGCTATATTGCTTGTATGTTGATGACGGAGTACCAAGAAGTGGCTCTTTGAGCAAAGACGGCATTTGAGGCAATACATAATGAAATGAAAATGAATGGCGATAAACGATGTGTACCTGATCAGTACAATTCGGTACTCCGGGACGGATGTATGCATTATGAAATAACACATATGCAAGTATTTAATGCTCTCTAATGTCAAGCACTCTTACTTTATGTTAAAGGCAAGCATATCATGGTTCACATGCATTAAGATATCTACTAGTTCATGAGTCGTTTTGTAGTTTTAAATTTCACATGTTCACCAACTTTAGCCATATTGTCAATTACTGAGCGTAGCTCATTCCCTAGTTTTGGGAAATTTTCAGGAGAAACCGCTGCGAGAGATGGCTGACCACCCAAGGTTCACTTACAGCCGTCGTATACCGGGTGACAGGTCCCACTTGTCTCTTTTGTTGTTTTGTTAGTTTAGATTGTTTTGGGTGGCTGAATCTTGTTGGTTAGATTTTTTTGTTTTGCCACCTTTGTACATATATGTTATATAAATTGCTAGATTTGTTTATATGAAGATTAGTGGCGCTTGTTTCCTACGTGTTTGAAGTCCTTACAGTTATACTTTATGTATTTAAAAAGTTTTAGAAGTTATGGTTTATTTGCCTGTCCGATTTCCGTTCCCGCCTCGTCTATACGAGCTAACCGGGCCGGGTCGTGACACTTGCTGACGAACAATTATTACGTCCTCTGACCGGACGTAGATCTACATCCGGTCAGAGGCTTGTTACTCAATTTTTGCTCGGTATTTGATCGGTATTGATAGGTATTGTTTGATAATATGGTGGAATACCGCTCTGAGAAGACCAATACCGAGTTATACCGAGTTATACCAAAAAATACCGAGTTTTTCTCGGTTTTTTTTGGTATAACTCGGTATTTCGTCTTCACCTAATGATATTTCTCGTTATTATTGGTATTGCTCAGTATTTGCTCGGTATTTCTCATTTTGTGCATGCAATCTTAGTGCCGACCAGACGTAGCTCTACGTACGTTCACCGGACCAAATAAAAGTTCCTTCCTGACACCTCTTGTAGCCTTTCCCTCCCATGTTTTTTCTAGAAACCTGACGCAAGAAAGAATAAAATCCCTCGATTTTTCTTGGTCTTGGTCGCCTTCTTCTCTTTTTCTCCTAAAAACCTGAAAATCTCCTAAAATCCGAAAAACCAGTATAAGCTCACACACTGATGCTCTTTCCTGCCTTCACCTTATCTTTTGTACATTTCTCTCCAGCGGCTTCCTCTGCTGCCCTTTTTTGAAAATCCAAGCATGTCGCCCTCTCGGTTTTTGAGCTCAATTTGTCTTGATTAGTTTAATTTGACCCAAGTTGAGTCAATTTCATCTCGGTTAGTTTAATTTGATTCGAATCGGGTCAATATGAGTTGAATCAATTCGATTGAGTTGATTTTATTGAATTTGATCTATTTCAATTTGTATTAATGAAAATAAGTTGAATCAAATAAAATAAAACAATAATATTGATTGATTAAATTTAATCGTTTTGAACTTTAACTCAAGCCAAAAAAAATGTGCGGAATTTGAATCAATAAGTCAAATTTAATTTAATCTGATTGTCTCAGGTCGAAATTTAGTTACAATTTAACTCTTTTTAAATGAAATCGAGTCGACCTGATTAAAAGTTGAATCAACAACTACGCAGGTGGATGATGTGGAGGCTGCAAAGCAGCCAATTGCTGAGCCAGCCAAAAGCTGTACTTGTTTTAATTGAGCAATGTTTTCACGATGAAGATCTCCTCAAAGGCAGCTCCGATGGATGCCGCAAGGGCATGGTCATGTCCAGTCTTTTTGTTCTAATACCACCTAATGATTTTTTGCTTTTAATTGAAAGAGAACCGAGTGCCGTTGTGCAGGAGAAACTCCCAAAACTCAAAAAAATCTCCTCACCAGCCCATTACACAAGTATATAAATACAAGAATTCCGGTCACCCTAGAAAATTATTTACCATTTATATTATACTTCATGTTCCAGTTATTGACGGAACTATCTACAGTTCTATTCCAACTTGAGTTGGCTTTTTTGAATCTCTTGTACTTATTCTTGCGAAGTGCTTCATTTGATGTTGGTTCAAATTTGATAGCACTACTTTATTTATGTTTCTTACGCATGGAGCCATTTCTTTTGTTAGGATTATGCCCGTAGTACGGTTCACCTTGTTTCAAATTTGATTCACCTTGTTTCTTACATGTATATATTTATTGTCACATATTTACAATGTTATTACGTTTTTCTTAATATTTTATCCCTTATTCAAGTTTATCAATTTTGAAATTTCAAAATTTCTTTATTTCTTGCTTATGCCATTATCTCTCTTTTGGCTCATCTTAAATTGTTTTTTTTTTATGTTGCGACTTGCGAGAGAAACATTTTGTCCCGTTAACATTAGTATATTAACCTAAAGTCTGCAATTTTAGAAGTTATTATCTCTTCATCATATATGTTACATGGTGCTCTGTGAAACTTAAACTATTTGATTGGAATATAGGGCCTAGAGGACAAAGCCTGGCGAACAAAACAAAGTAGTGTGCAACTGCTTGGTGCTATGGCATATTGTGCTCCTCAACAGTTATCTCAGTGCTTGCCCACAATTGTCCCCAAGTTAACGGAGGTTTTCAGCTGTTCTTAATCTAGATTGTTTCTTTGATTTTCACTATTATGATTCAATATTTTATTTGTTTTGCTTGAATTACTGTAGGTGCTTACTGACACACATCCAAAAGTTCAATCGGCAGGGCAAGATGCTCTTCAGCAGGTTGTATTTGATTATTTTAATTGCTACTCACGGATCTCCTTTTCTTTTGAGTTGAATAGAGTTCTATCTTTTCTCAGGTTGGAAGTGTGATAAAAAATCCAGAAATATCTGCTCTGGTTCCTACCCTTCTGTCGGGTCTCAGTGACCCTAATCAATATACTAAGCACTCTCTTGACATTCTTCTCCAGGTATGTTTGGGGTGCTTGAAGGATTTTTTGTTGCTTTTCCCTGAAATTTCTCTATGTCAACTCTAGTTTAGTTTAATTTCTGTAGACAACTTTTATCAACTCAGTAGATGCACCGTCTTTGGCACTATTGGTGCCCATTGTCCATAGAGGCTTAAGGGAGAGGAGTTCAGAAACCAAGAAAAAGGCAGCTCAGATAGTTGGTAATATGTGTTCCTTAGTAACTGATCCAAAGGATATGATTCCGTATATTGGGCTGCTACTTCCTGAAGTGAAGAAGGTATGGATCTTGATCTTTTGCAATTAGTGGGACTGATGGAAAATGAGTAGAATTGACTCTGCATGCACAATTTGGAGTAATTTGTGCATACCATTTTGATCTCAGAGAGCACGCAATTAGCTACAAATAGTTTGCATTCATTTAATCTGACATCAATGATCTATATCATTCAATTGTTAGCCATGGGTCCCTTATTAATAGGAAAGAGATTACATGGATACTACTATTATTTTGAAAGCAAATCTGCTAATATCTAATTCAAACAAATGTTCAAATTTAATCCTAATGTTATCAAATTTTATTCAATTGAACCTAATAAAATAAATTGAATATAAAACGAGAGTTGTTGGCCATTCATAAAATTGGCGTAAAAAGGTTTGAAAACTTAATTGGTTTAGCTTCTTTATATCCCAATTTAACTGTCTTTGATTCACCTTAAAATTTGGCTTTTATGTACTAAAATGGTTCATTTGTATTGCATCATTTATTTTTTATGGTTTCATCAAGTCTTCATAATTCTCTTATGGAAATTTAGGTTTTGGTTGATCCTATACCAGAAGTACGTGCTGTTGCGGCTAGGGCTATCGGGTCCCTAATCAGGGGAATGGGAGAGGAAAACTTCCCAGATCTTGTATCTTGGTTATTGGAAACACTCAAGTCTGACAATAGTAATGTTGAACGATCTGGTGCTGCACAAGGGTTGAGCGAGGTGTGTATGTTATACTCTACTTGTTTATTCGTGTGCATTTATTATTCCAAATTTATATTTTTTCGGTACTTTATATAATAATAATAATAATAATAATAATAATGATATTAGTATCACTATGATGATAATATTAATAATGGGATAATAATCATGGTAATAATAATAATAATAATAATATTAATGATGGTAATACTAATAGTGATGATAGCACTAATAATGGTAATGATGATAATACTAATAACGGTAATAATAAAAATGATGATAATACTAATAATCATAATCATAATAATGATAATGATAATAATATTGATAGTGATGATAATAATAATAATAATAAATATAATGATAATAATATTAATAATAATATTGATAATACAACAACAACAAAATAAAGCCTTTATCCCACGACGTGGGGTTGACAACATGAATCAGTTTTCTCTATTATGTTTGGTTAAGAGTCAAATTGTCATTTAAATATTATGAAAATGGCCAATTCTAATACTTTCTTACAAAGTCTTTTTTTGGTCCTTAACAAAGGCCAAATACAATACATCTACTCTCCTAACTGGGTCATCGAAAGGCCGACATTTTATGTGACCAAACCCTTTAAGGCGACTCTCTCTAATTTTATTTTCCATTGGAGCTACTCAAGCTTTTTCATCTATATACTTGTTTCACATTCTATCTCTTATAGTAAAGCTACTCATCCACCTAAGCATCCTCATCTCTACAATACTTAATTTTATGCTTCTCTTTTAATGGCCAACATTCTGTGCTATAAAGCATTGCAAGCTTCACCATCATCTTATAGAATTTTCTCTTAAGTTTGAAGGATACTTTACTATCACACAACAAGCCCAATGCATTCCTCCACTTCAACCATCTAACTTAATTTTATTAATAATATCCTCATCGATTTCACTATCATTTTGAACAATAGACCTGAGATATCTAAAACTTAAACTCTTTTAATGACTTTATTGCCCAAAGTCACAAACCCTCACTTGATCTATTACTACTAAAATTACACTCTATGTATTTGATTTTAGATCTACTCAAACGAAAACCATTAGACTTTAAGGTTGACCTTCATAATTCAAATCATCCTTCAACTCACTCACTAGTTTTATCAACAAGAATAATATGTTCAACAAAAAGCATGCACCAGGGTATATCCTCTTGCAAATGTCTAATAAGAATATTGATTACTAAAAAAAAAGGTATAAGCTTAAAATTGATCCTTGATGTAATATGATGCAGGCAAACTAGAAACAAAAGACAACTAGGAGAACACTAGGACAATTTAAAATCAAACTCCATTCAAACTAGTATGCAAACATCTCCAAACAAACTCCAAAGCAAACGAAAAGTCGAAATGAACGAAACAAAAATTATAACATAAAAATGCTATCCTCAGAGCAACCGTCAAACGGTTTCCTCACATGCAACGAAAGTAGGATAATATATGATAAAGTGCTTAGGCTTGCAAACCGAGGGTCCACCATTGCAAAAGGTCCAACTTCCTACCAAACTCCTGCAAATGTCTCCCAAATCAGCCAACAAACATCACCAAATAGCTCAAGAAGAAGGATACAGGTGGAGTGGAACTTGTGTAGAGAAGAAGAGATTAGAAGCCAAGACGAAATAGAGGAGAGAAGATAGAAATGGAACAATCTCTCAAGCTTTTCCAAGAGAAGAGAAGAAACCCTCAGGTTTTAGTAACTTATCTCAAGTTAATCAACCTCCTTAAGACAAAATACTTCATATTTATAAGAGAGAAAGGGGAGCCAAACAGCCAACTCCAACCTCCATCCAAACCAATCAGGTAAGGTGAAGAGGAAAGGCAAAAGTTATCACAAAACAGCTCCCAAAAAACAGCACAGGAAACGAGTAAGAGAAGCCACGGGAACACAGCCAGGAAGCCACGGGAACACAGCCAGGAAGCCACGGGAACACAGCCAGGGAGGGACCCAAAGAGCCAACACAGAAAACGGAAAGGCAAAGCCACGGGAAAGCAGCCGGGGAGAAAACCGAAAAGGCAACTAGCACTCATCCTTAATTCACAAAGAAGAAACCAAGGAGACACAAGAAGGGGAAGAAACAAGCTCCACTCCACGTACCTTTTCAAATTTATGAGCTAGGAAGTGCAATTACTCCACATAATAAGCTAAACATCAGCTCAAGAAAAACCCAACTTTTTTAGCTCAAACCCAAGCAGCCAAAGCCCAATCCGAGAGCAGCCAAGGCCCAAACCGAAAGACAGCAAGTAGCCCAAGGGACAAAAGGACCCAAATGCTAGCAAACCCAAGCCTTGCCATGCCCAAGCACATCCTACCATGATCATTGGATTCCTTCCATCATTGGATAGCTTAAAAAAATATAAAACACAACTGATAATGTTCAAATTACATCAAAACAAAATAAACCAAATTATAATTGCATCAATTCTCCCATGGTGGGAGAATCTCATCTTCTGATGAGAAAGCTTCCACAATATTCTTATGAAGATTCGGGTGACAATTTTTTAACTCATTGGCATCCATCCAAGTACAGTCAGTATAAGGATGATTCTTCCATTTTGCCAAAAACCTCATGTGCTCGCCATGCCTAGTTTTAGTTACTTTGACATCAATAACATCTTCAACCTATTCATCATTATTTAAAACTGATGTGGAGAGTGACAAAGTTTCAATTTTCACATAATCTTCAGAATCCCTTCATACAAATAAAGATAAGAAATATTAAACACAGGAGAAGTGCCAACAGTAATCGGAAGATCCAAGAGATAAGCATTTGTGCCCAATTTTCATAGAACACGAAAAGGTCCAAATTTCTTCTTGTTTAATTTCCCAAAAGTACCAACAGGAAATTCTTGGCGACGAAAGTAAGCCATAACCAAGTCCTCTTTAAAATAAACTTCCCTCCAATGTTTGTCAGCAGCAGATTTGTATTTAACATTAGCCATTCGGAGTTTTTCAAGGACTTGTTGTTGGATAGTTTTGATATGATCAAAAGTTTCAGAAGCTTCAGCACTAATTTTATTAGACATAGACAAACAATTTCTATCTAAAATGTGAGGTATAGGTTGACCATAAATAATCTCAAATGGAGTTTTACCAGTGGAATAATTAACAGAATTATTATATGCAAATTCAGCTTGGGGCAATATCAAATCCCATTGGGATGGTTTTTCTCCAGCAAAGCATCTCAATAAATTTTCTAAATTCGATTGACAACTTCCGTTTGCCAATCAGTTTGTCGATGATAAGCACTACTAAATTGAAGAGTAGTTCTTAATTTTGCCCAAAGTGTTCTCCAAAAAATGACCAAATTTAGTATTTCTATCCGAAGTAAAAGTGCGAGGAATATCATGAAGGCGAATAATTTCATTAAAGAACAAGTCAACAATATATGAAGGATCAGAAGTTTTTTTATTTTTTTTTATTATTTGTTTTTGTTTTTTATTTTTTATTTTTTATTTTTAGCATCATAAGTTTTCTTACAAGGAATAAAATGTACCATTTTGCTAAAGTGATACACAACCACAAAAATAGAATCAAACTTTCTAGCAGTAACAGGCAACCCCAAAACAAAATCCATTGAGATATCCTCCAAAGGTTTATTTGGAATAGGAAGAGGAGTATACAAAACAGTATTTTGAGAAGTTCCCTTAAAAGCCTAACAGATTTTACATTATTTTACCAGCTTAGCAATTTGCTTTCTCATATGATGTCAGAAATATTTTTCTTCAACCAAGGAAACAATTTTTCCTTGCCCAAAATATCCACCCAATCCCCCACTATGAAGTTTTTGCACAAGTTGCTCTCTTAAAGAATTTTCGTTATGCAAAGTTTGTATCCCTTAAACAAAAACCCTTGATGAATAACAAATTGAGCAAAAAGATCAGCTCCAGAAACAAGACAAGAATCCCAAATACTCTTAAAATCTGGATCATTTGCATAAGCATCTTTCAAAAAATCAAAAGAAGTGATAATCGGGTAAACAGTTATGAACAAATGAAATCTCCTGCTTAAAGCATCAGCTACCTTGTTTAGCATACTAGTTTTATGTTTAATATGAAAAGTATACTCTTGCAAAAAGAAATCCATTTAGCATGCCTCTTGTTCAGATTATTTTGAGAGCCTAAAAATCGCAAAGCCTCGTGATCAGTATTTAAAACAAATTCCCTTTGGATCAAATAACACCTCCAAAATTTTAAAGCTTGAACAATAGCATAAAATTCCAAGTCATAAGTAGAATATTGGGATCGAGCATCATTCAACTTTTAACTAAAATAAGCAATAGGTTTTCCCTCTTGACTAAGCACAACATCAATACTAACACGAGAAGCATCATAATCAACTTAAAAAATGTTTCAAAATTTGACAAGCTAAGAATGGGAGCTTGATTCATTTTTGCCTTAATGATTTCAAATATTTGTTCAGTATGAGCTGTCAACCTAAATATCCTTTTTTTTTTTCAAACAATCAGTAAAAGGAGCAATCAGAGAACGGAAGTTCTTAATAAACATTCAATAAAAAGAAGCCAAGCCATGAAATCCTCTCACCTCACTTATGTTTTTAGGAGTAGGCAAACTTTGAATTGCCTCAATTTTTATCGGATCAACCTTTATTCCCTCCGCAGAAACAATGAAACCCAAAAATATTAAGCTCAAAGTCATGAATGAACATTTTTTAAGATTGATGTACAACTTTTGTTCCCTTAGAGTTTGCAAGACTTCCCTCACATTATTAAGGTGTTCAGAAGGGTGAATGCTATAAATCAAAATATCGTCGAAATAAACCACAACAAAATTTACAATAAAAGGTCTCAAAATATGATTCATTGTTCTCATAAAAGTACTCGGACCATTAGAAAGTCCAAATGGCATAACAAGTCATTCATACAAATTATCTTTAGTTTTAAAAACAGTTTTTCATTCATCCCAAGGTCTTATTCTAATTTTGTGATACCTGCTTCTCAAATCAATTTTGGAAAAT